AGACCCCAGATGCTTTATCTTTTGATCTCGGGACACCATCGGCTTTCTTCACCACATTTTCTTATGCACCTGCTTTGTCTTCAGCGATTGTGTCAGGAAGGTGAGCATCAAGGAATCCCAGTTTAATGAACAGAGTGGTCTTGTGTTGAGGCCCCGGCAGCGTTCAGTGGTTGTTTCTTTCCCTGGGAAACCTGTTCTTGACCTTTGTAATAGAGTCCCATACACTGTCCAACCTCTGTACCCCCGGATTCCTTTCAGCACCAGAGGCTCCAGGCACGTCCCTGCAGTGAGGCTCGGACCCCTCTCACTTACCCGTCTCCCACCGCGGGGCAGGCGTGCTGCGTCCTTTCGCTGTCAGGCACACGGTGTGATGAGCGCTTCACCCCCGAGTCCCACGAGTCAGTGATCAGTCACAGCAGGAGGGCTGCACAGCTGTCACCATACTCGATTCTAGGACATTCTCTGCTTCCTTGCACTCATTGCCATTCGTGTAAGTTTTTCCCAATCGTGGCAAAAATACAGCAACAAAGCACTCTCCAATCCATGACTTACACTTCTTTAATTCCACCCCATTGATGATATTCTCCATGTTATGCCCCGCTGCTGATGTCCTTTTCCAGATTATTCTACCACCATGACATAAACCCAGTGCCCCCAAGCATTGAGCCGATGCCTTTCCCCGTGGCAGCCATCGGTCAAGCCTGGTTGGGGTTAGTGGTTTTCCTGATGTTGCATGCACACAGACACGCTCATGGTCCCGTCGCTCTGAAGTGCATTGCGGGAGGAGCAGAGGTCATTCCATAATAGGCCCGAGTCCTCGCTCCCCCCCCATCACACTGCGCAGAGAAAAGAAGGCGAGCGTTCCAGGAGGCCGTGTGAGCGCCCCGTGCCACACAGCTAGAAAGCACCAACACCGTCCTGCCCTAGCCTAGGGCTCCTCGGACCTTTTCCACTCGGGCCAGACCCTCTTAGCCAGGGAAACTGGCAGCATGGGCACATGCTTTCAGACACACCTAGGGTTTATTACGCATTTGGCTTCTGAATTGATTCTTTGGGTCATTGCACCTTCCACAGTGGCTAAATTTTTCTTGACACCCCTCCCCCTCCCCCACATGTGTGGGGTTAAAACCTACAATTCAAGAAGCTTTGCCCTTACCCACACCCTGCACCTGACAGAAAGAACCGGGCGGAGGCTCACCCCAGGGTAGGCTCTCCCCAGGGTGCCAATCCTGAGGGAGCATTGCTCCTGTTGTTGCTGCTGCTGCCGCCAGTTGGTGCCAATTCAAGCTGCCCACCAGACCGCTTCGCTAGCCCGCCCCCCTGATGGGATGAGACCACCATGCCTTTGCTCCCAGGGAGCCGCTGAAGGCTTGAACTCATGACTTCTCTATTAACAGTCCAGTGAATGAGGTTACCTTGTGTCACCAGGACTCCTGCCTGCGGTGGGGCGAGGATGCGGGTGGGCTGAGCAGACATCAACGGGCCCCTGGGTCTTCCTGAGGTCATTGGTGCAAATGGAGGCATCCTCTGGGGGGTGAAACACCGTTGGTGGCCCTCCGCCCAAGGGAGAGACGTCAGTACACGACCAGCCACATCCCACCTGTCCGTAGAAAGCTACAGTCCCGACAGCTTCCTGCTGGGTGGTGTCAGGGGCCTGTGGGGGCGGGGTGAATTGGGAGCATCTGCCCCACCCGGCCTGACCTGCCTGCTTTTCCTGAGCACTGGGATCTGGATTTTCATGGGGAAATCCTCAACTTTGGAAACTGGAAGTTTCCAAACACCATGTGGGTCCTCTTACCCGCCCACAGTGCCCCTGCCACCCCATGCTCTGTTGCTCCCAGAAAGTGAGCTTGTGGCTCGGGCAGACTCCTGCGTCGGGAGTGGGGAGCTGTGGTCCTTCTGGGTCCCCAGGCCTCTGGTCAGGCAAGGCCAGCCATCTGAGCCTCCACTTGCGTGCCTCAGAAGGCACCAGCCGAGGCAGCGGGCAGACCAAGCTGAGGGCGCAGGTTGGGGCTGGGTGCAAGGCCCAGAGCCCATGGGGTGGGGCCGGCAGGGTGCTGACTCCTAGCTGGAGCTGCTGGGCCTCTTCCTTAAAGAAAGGAGCCCTGATCTTGTAGCCACGCCTAGATCCAAAAGGGGAGACGTGGCCTGGCACTCTGTCCTGACTGCAGTTGAGTAGTGTGGAGGGTGTATGCCCAGCCACAGTGAGAGTGCCCTGCCTGGGCCTCCGGGCCTCCTCCCTCCCCCGCCTGCACGTGTCCGGCCTCCGCCTAGCAGGAGGGTGCCAACACTGACCCCTGGTGGCGGTGTGAAGCAATGGAAGGCCAAGATGTCACTGTGAGTGAGAGGCTTGTTTGACTCAACCCACTGCCCCAGAGTCGATTCTGGCTCATAGTGACCCTCTAGGACAGGATAGAACTGTCTGTGAGTCCCTGAGACTGTCAATCCTCACAGGAGTAGGAATCTGCATCTTCCTTCTGAGGAGCAGCTGGTGGTTTCGAACTACTGACCCTGAGATGAGTATCTCAAAGCATAACCCACACCACCAAGACCCCTAGAGACTGCATAGGGGTCTAAGGCCGTACATCTTCACCAAGAGAGCAGACAGCCTCCTCTTTCTCCCACCGAGGGGCTGGTGGATTTGAACCAGCTATCTGAGCAGTCCTATACTTTCCCGACAGTGGACTCTATTACTTCTCTTACATTTACTGTCGCCCTGGCCCACTCAAGAGAGACATCAAGGTGTTGCCCTTGCGCCAGGTACAGATGGAAATTCTGAACCTGAGGAAGGACTGGGAATAGGCCCGAGAGAGCAGCTCAGACACTTGGCAAAGACAGCCAGCTGCCCCCCAAGTGCCCCCCGCAGGGCCGGCCCTCAGCACACGTGTAAAGAAAAATGCCACGTAACAGACACTCCTTGTGAAATTGAGATGTCTCGCGTGCCTCCCGGGTAGCATTATACAAGGCGTGCTCAGTTCTGTTAGCAAGAGCCGGGTGTGCGCCTGTGCCCTGCCTGGTTCCCGGAGGAGTTAGGCGCCTTCCAGACTGCTTTGGTGAGTCAGAGTCTGACAGCTGAGAAGTGGTGTGAAGGGCCGAGGGCGGGGCCAGAATCTGAGCCAGCAGTGCTTTCTGTACAGAAGCACAGGCAGAGGTACACTGAGGGATTGCCAGGACGGGTGACCTCAGTAATCGGAGCTGCCCAGCAGCTACTGTGCAGACAGATGTGACGGTGACCGAGCAGGGAAACAAGGGCAGGGGGCCTCCACTCCTCTGCCAGCTCAGCTCTGCCAACTCTTCTGGGCCTGAGGTCGGCCGGCCGGGTCTGGCTTGGCCCACTCCCTCAGGGGCCCCGTGAACATACGGGACTTGGGGTCCAGGAACCGGAGGCAGCGTCGGTAACCCAATGGCCCCCGTCTCTGCTTCTCCCACCTCTTCCAACACAGCCCTCTGCCCATCTCTGACTTCTCCCCTGTGGTCCCTGCAGGGCTAGGTGGGAGAGTCAGCCTGCCCATTGGGCAGCACTCGGGCTGCCAGGGTCAGGAGGAGGCAGTGGGGTGGGTGTGAGCTGAGCTCATGCCCCAGAGTGCCTTTGTCCCATCTCGTGAACCCAGACATCTGAGATGGTAGCCCACCCTGTCTGCCCCCGGAGTGGTCTTTGGGTTCAGGGGCTCCAGAGAGGTGGTATGGGTATGGGGAAGTGTGAAGGGCTGGGCACCAGATGTGGGATGGTAGCATCTGACCCACGGGTGGAGTGAATGCGCCAAGTTGTGGGCAGGGGTGGTAGCCAGTGGGTGGGCTCACCTGCTTTCTCACCTACAGCCTGGGACTACAGCCAAGGCTTCGTGAACCAGGAGATGATCCGAGACCATCTCCCACCACCAGAGGAGGAGCCCCTGGTGCTGATGTGTGGCCCCCCACCCATGATCCAGTACGCCTGCCTGCCCAACCTGGACCGCGTGGGCCACGCCAAGGAGCGCTGCTTCTCTTTCTGAGAGGGAGTGCCCACCTGCCCACCGACCTGCCCATGCGCACACCCTGCAACTGTCCTCACCCACCTCCTTGCCATCATTCCTTAACATCCCCCACCACATCCATACTGGGGCCTGGGTCCAGCCTGGTCTGGGGACTCCCCCTGGGAGCAGGGCCCCAGTTTAGGTGGGTGTCCCTATAGCCCTTCCTCACCCATACCCAAACCGACAGACACTACAGGGCTGAGGCTGCCTCCACCAGCTCCCCCACGCCCGGCAGAGGACCAGGGTCTGGAGAGAAAGACAGTGAACAGGCAGCACAGGCCTGCAGTGCCAGAGGCCACCCTGGTAACATCGTGGTGACCCTGGCCTGCCACCCAAGGGCAGATCACACAGTATGCCCAGTAAGCATGGGCTTCACTGTGCTTCCTCAGCTGTAGTGAATAATTGCACCACCACCTTTTAGACATGGTGAAATCATGACAGCTTAGTATGTAAGCACAAGTAAGCCCATGCTTACTGGACTTAGCAACCTGTTGGTGACAAGTTGCACTGTCCCTGCTGCCACCCAACTGCCAGCCTCAGTGCCCGGGAGCCCTTCAAAGGGCTAGGCTGCTGGGACAGCGAGGCAGTCCCTGGCTAGGGCTGGAGCAGGAAGTGAGTGGTGGTCGGTGCACCCACACTTGGTGCCTTGGGGGTTCCCAGCTGGATTGCCTCCAGCACTTGGGTCCAGAGCCAGGGGCACCTGCCAGTTGTGGAAACCAGATGTTTATTTCATCCTGTGCCCCAAGCCCTGCCCCGCCCTCTCCCCAGCCTGGGGGTCTGAGCAGTGCCTCGCACCCCAGAGACATGCAAATCCTGGGGTGGCCCTGACGTTGCCTTCAGACAGCAGCTGTTAGCCTCTCGCACACTGGCTTTCTCAGTCATTTATGAGCAGAAAAAAATGAAGTAAAACTTTGCTACTGGTAACCCTTCTGTTGCTCTGTGGGGTCGGGCTTGTGCGAGTGTATGTGCAGTGAGGCATGGAGGAAGGGGACTACACAGGGCTCCCATCTACCTTTTTAAAACCATTTTTCTGGGACATCATCCACATACCATGTAATTCCTTCGTTCGTTTCAAGAAGAGTTGTACAGTCATTACTACAATCGATTTTAGAACAGTTTCTTTCTCATACTCCTTGTTATTCCCCATTTCCTCCCAACCTCCCCTGCCATACCCCCAATAACTTTAACAGTTTTATTGACATATAATTCACATATTGTGCAAATCAGTAGTTGAAACATATTGAAGAGAGTTGTATAGTCATCTCCATAATCAATTTTAGGATGTTTTTTTGTACTTGTTATTAGTTCCCTATCCCCTGCAATCTCTCCTGCCCATACTCCCAAGAAGCCATTGATCCAGTACTGTCTCTATTGATTTTCTCATACTCCTTGTTATTCCCCATTTCCTCCCAACCTCCCCTGCCATCCCCCCAATAATTTTAACAGTTTTATTGACATATAATTCACATATTGTGCAATTCAGTAGTTGAAACATATTGAAGAGAGTTGTATAATCATCTCCATAATCAATTTTAGGATGTTTTTTTGTACTTGTTATTAGTTCCCTATCCCCTGCAATCTCTCCTGCCACAACCCCAAGAAGCTATTAATCTAGTTACTGTCTCCAGGTTTACGTATTCTAGATTTCATAGGAGGAAAAACATTTCAAAACAAAACCAACAACACAGTGTTGAAAAACCTTAGTTGAAAAGATGACAAAATAATAAAAGCTAGGCCAGATTTCAGATGGGTCAAGAGATAATGGTAAGCTGTTAACTTTTAACCTAATTGCATTTGTCCACTTGCCAACACACTGTCTGATAGGTTATTGACATCCCTGGTCAGTGCTCAGAAGGGATTCACCAGACTTACTCCACAAGGGATCCCACAAATGGATTTCTGTTTGTCACTGTCATCCAGAGCCTTATGCAAACGGGGTGCTCAGAATGTAAGCTCTAATACCATTCCCTCCTCCAGTCTTGGCTTTTAGTATTTATAATCCTTGGATCACACAGGCCAGTGTGCATCTTCTATGTGGACTTAACTGTCACTCATTTAGGTAGCTGCTTGTCCCACATCTGTACTGATACTTAATTGGTTCTACTGATGCTCGGTTTGTGGGGGATGCAGGAAATCGGGAGAGTGTAGAAAAGCATGTGTTTATTTTAAGTGGAAAAGAAGTCTATGAGGAAAGAATCTGTTAAGCAGGGTTCTCTAGAGAAACAAAACTAGATAGATGGATAAATAGATAGGCTTATACAGCAAGAAGGAATATAGCAGCTAATTTAATCCACAGCAATACAGAGGGTTCAGCTCAACTCACTTCTGTGGAACAGTTAATTTACTGGAAGTCCTTCAACTCACATGGGCTACTGGGTCCAAGTTCAAGGAAGCACATAGCAGAGTCCTCCTTGGGGCAAAGCAAGCAGATTCCCACAGGCAGCAAGTGGGTCACCAACAGGAGCTCAGAAGGATATCAAATGCAAACAAAGCAAGGCGACAGGATCCACCAGGCCCAAGCGATGTACTGGAGCATGGCAAAGCAGGTCTCGAAGGAGCCTCAAGCTCTAGAGACAGGATCCATGGATTGGCACGGCTCACAGGTTGAATATGAGCTAGCTACAGCAGCAACAGGCTCCAATCCCCAGAGGGGGAGAGGGAGGGCCTTGCAGAGCCATTTATCTCTGCCCTCCAATCAAACCACAACCTGTTAAGTCCCACATGTTCCTATTGGTCAGGTTGACACAAACCTATCACAGAACCAGGTGGAGAAACAAACTGTTAAGGGGGGTGGGGGTGGGGGGAGTCTGCTTAGAAATGACTGAAACCCAAAACCCCCACCCTCCAGAGGCAAGCTGCTGACCGGCTGGGATCGTTTGTTGTCTACTGTGTGACTGCTGCAGCTGTGACCACCGGGAGAGATTAACATGCAGGCCAAGGCTGACCGCTCCAGGGTGGAGAGTCCACCCCCACAGCAGCCCCAGGCCCATTGCCACGAGGCAGAGGTCAGACAACCCTCCATCCTTCTGACCCCAGCTGCTCCTCCCACAACACTGGACCTCGTGCAGACAGCACTCACAATTAGGGGTGCGAGGGTATCAGGATTCAACAACAGGAGAATGTTGTCGGGACCTCAGCCACGTGGTCCCTGGGCCTCTGCCTCAGGGGCTCAGGGAGGCTCCTCTGCCCTGTCCATGGTCTTGGCCTCAGCCGCTGGTCTCCGAACGGCACGCCCACGTTACCTGGGTTTCCCACGTGCTCTGCTGGCGGGGATTCTTCCTGGATGGTCCCAGGAAGTCTGCTCTTTCTGCTTCTGAGGTGGCTCTTACAGCGAGAGCTATGACCACTAAATCTGCCCCACCGCTCCATCAGCGTGGCGCACACTGTATTTGCATAACCCCATCACAATTCCTTGGTGGGAGTTAACAGATAGAGGATCAAAACTCAGTCACTGCCTTGGAGTCTGAATCACTCAGGCCTTAGAAGGCGGGGTCAAACTGCCCTTGGGGGTTTCTGAGGCAATCTGAGTAGAAAGCCTCGTCTTTCTCCTTCAGAGCAGCTGGTAGTTTTGAACTGCTGGTCTATGGGAGAAAAGTTGTTTGCCCCGTAGGCAAACAGGACCACCACCTTCGATGGTTCATGGCCCAGGAGCGGATGCTGATGAGTCAGCCGCCAGAACTGGTGAAGCAATGGCTGGCCTGTTTCTCCACCTGAGATACGCGGACGCGTGCTTATTCCCTGACCAAAGCTGCAGAACGCAGTAGTCTGCAAGCTGAGCAGTTACTTCCAGTTCCCAGCCTCATCCTCCCCTCCTGATTGCGAATCACTTGGCCGATGTGGTCATGCTTCTTTGTAAACCTTCCGAGAATTGTGAACTGTCCCTTTGTGAAATGCTGTCATGAGTTGCAGGCTGCGTGCAAGAAAGTTACACCATCCTCGAATAAAGTTCTGGGCCCTGGAGTGTCTAGTGCTTCAGAGACCCCTGCGCTCCAACTTTGACTATCCCTTTTGTATCTCTTTTTTTTTATTGTTTTATTAGGGGCTCATACAACTCTTATCACAATCCATACATACATCAATTGTGTCAAGCACATTGATCTCATCTGTAAGTTTTCAGTTCGTGCCCTCTGAAACCCAGTCATATGGTGAGATGAGAGTCAGACTCAATAACAGCTCACACAGATCTTGAGGTTGACAGCCCGAAATCTAACTGTGTTAGGTGGGGCCAACCAGAGAAACCAGGGACACACAAGTATGTGTGCGAGAGCTTCCTATCAAGAAGTAATTGTAGATCAGGAAACAGCCCAGCCCAGCCCAACTCAAGTCCACAGGTCCAATACGAGTCCCTGTTCAGACTCACACAAGTCACCAGCAATGATGGGGAATGTAGGCAGAGCACCGGCTGGTGGGTGCAACTTCTTGTGGATCCAATGGTGGTGGACGCATCTGCAGTTGGTGACACAAAAGGTGTTGAAATTGGTGGGTGGCTGGCCAGTTTGCTCTGTAACCTTTCACCCAAATAGTAGTAGGTAAAGTAGCAATTCAGAGCAGGCCCTTTACTCACAAGTACCCCGTCTTTTACTCACGAGTATCCCAGTAACCCAACCCACTGCTGTCAAATGAATGGCAACTCCTAGGACTGTATGGCAGCGGTTCTCAACCTGTTGGTCAAGACCCCTTTGGGGGTCGAACGACCCTTTCACAGGGGCTGCCCAAGACCATCAGAAAACACTTATTTCTGATGGTCTTAGGAACTGAGACACCGCTCCTCTATCCATCATCAGGCAGGTCCGCCCACATGCAGATATGCCCACCTACGAGTACCCAGAATGAAGACTTAGCTATGCTACACCATGCTTCAAGACAAAATTTCATTTATTTGTAATTAGAAATAAATATCTCACAATGTATAATTACATATTGTTTTTGTGATTGACCATTACGCTTTCATGATGTTCAATTTGTAACAATGAAAATGCATCCTGCATATCATATTCACATGACGATTCATAACAGTAGCAAAATCACAGTTATGAAGGAGCCATGAGAGGAGCACGGTGTCTCTAGTCTTGTGTCTGTCTAGGACAGTACACAAGCGTCTGCCCTAGTTGGTTCTCATAAACAGTTTCCGTACTGCGAATGGTAAGATGATTGTGGAAACAGTTGCAAGAGTGTTTCCCTGGTAGAAATGGAAACAACGGTCTGGGCCGAGCTAGGGAACTCACTCTCAAGGCTATGAGAAATTCAAGTGTGGGAATAGCAAACATGCTGGGAACACTGCCAGTATTTAGTAGATAAATAATAAAGCACTGCGGGCCATCAAGGCTGCAGTTTTGTTCCGTCTCTGTCTCTGTCTACTTTGTGCTGTAACCCTGTATTGTCTCTCTGTGTGTGTATGTCTGTTTGGTTCCATGTTCATTCTCCCTACTCAAGAAACCGTGGCATCAGTAGCAAATAATCTTATGGTTGGGGGGGGTGGTCCCCACCACATGAGGAACTGTGTTAAAGGGTGGTGACATTAGGACGGTTGAGAACCACTGCTATATGGGATTCCTGAGACGGTCGATCTTTACAGGAGCAGACAGCCTCATCTTGCTCCTGCACAGCAGCTTGTGGATTTGAACCTCTGATTCTGATGTTAGCTGCACAATGTTTCTGCCCTCCATGGTGCCTCCAGGGATCCTTGTCCCCTGCCTACATATAGACTGGCAAGGGGGGGTGGGGGTGGGGAGTTTGGTCCCGTGCTGTCATTTTGCAACTTCAAGCCCCAACTGTAATCTACAAAGAAGAGAGTCAAGGAGCTCATCATAAATGATGCATGTTTCCCCCCACATATAAGAGCTGGGCCCACCCACATCTCCTGACTGAGTGCCTAATGGGCACCAGGCACCCACATGCTATCCTGGATTCCCAACTTGCCTGGG